GAGACTACTATAGCAGCTGTTCCAAGAGCAATTATGAGCAAGAGGTATATGATTTTTGGCCAAAATGAGCAGTAAAATGAGTAATATAGGTAAGGGACAAATGAACCCATTGTCAGGACAGCAATGCCACAGTAATCCAGCCTATAATAAAGAAAAGAAAATGGAATCAAAAATTTACATAATAAACACGTCTGCAATTTAATGTACGCTACTTGTTAAAAAGTTTTCCAATAGCCTCAGAATGACAATACAACGTATGAAAAAGACAAGAGAAACCGAGGCAAAGAACGGCTCCAACAAAAAAGGCGGATTGAACAGCTTTATCTTGCCATTGCACGTAGTGTTCACTTTGAAATATGATATATACAAGTATAGCTACAAAGCTTCCACAGCCTGTTAATAAAGAGCAATAAACAATCATTAACATACTTACCTAACAAGTGTGTCCAAATATTCCCTGTCTCAGTATGTATTCTGAAAATAGATTTAAAGCAATCGATGATTGAGTCTAATTGAGGCCTATGCCAACGAACCAGAAAATCATTATCCTTTAGCCAAGCGGGGAGACTGCCGTGATGAACAACTTGCCAACCACGAAGCCATACATGTCTAACAAATTCTTCTGCACTGTGAGCAAGCATCCGGACCATCTAACAGATATGCAAATTAAGAATAAAGAAGAGTAAATAAAAGTATAATCATATAACCATTAACAAATTGCGAAAATGATCCCGAAGTGGATAAGATGGCTTATTCTAGGCTATGTACCTGAGAGAAGTCACCATTCCTGAGAGATTCACTGCATCCTATTTTATCATTGTCCTCATCTACCAGCGATTCCGAGGTTTCCTGGCCGACTAGGTTAAAATCTTGGCAGCCAGCTGGAGAAGAAGACATGGTAAGCCGGGCTGGCAGTACAACTTATGCTAATACGCGGCGAAGAAGAGATGAAATTAAACAATCAATTCACTTGAATGCTGGTAGCATTTTAGCCATAATTATTATATAATAAATTATAACAACATAAAGAAAAAGTAACTCATTTCAATTGTATCGGTTTTTTTTTCTTGCAACATTTCTTGCTTAACTTTATTTTGGTTAAACTTTAAGCAATGCCTTCATCTGGCCGTAAAATACAATATTCGAATACTAAGATTATGTCTGATACAAATATTTACGCTTAGCTTGCTTAGAACCTTCATATAATCCCTTCTACTCACTGATAGCAAATGCCCATGCACCTACTTAAAACGAACTTTTGCCAAGATACGAATGTAAATTGTCATATAAGTAGGTGCTAATATGTACCGGGTTCTTTAATAAGTAATCAACCTTTGTTCTTTCTAGTGATTGCATTTTGGCTTTTGCTTTCTCCAAATTACACAATTAGGCAAATAGCATTTTTAGGATTAAAAGTATAATATTACATAGCAGTGATTTATTCAGATATAAAAAATTTATTCGATTTGGTTTAAGGCGTAAGGCTTATGGAATTTGTAGATTTTGGTTAACTGCAAGTGGTCAAATTAATTGTATTGCCGAAGAGAACTATGTTATACTTCATCTACCCTTGTAATTTATTCTTGAGCATTTTACCTTAGACAACAGATTACTCTTGCGTCGTAGTTATTATTGTGTAAGTGAAGCGACATCCTTATCATAGATCCTTAACCCATAAAAATTCCAATTAAAGGCAATTTTATGGTGACAGTTTGTGACAATTATCCTAACCGTTCCGATACCACACCTATTCCATAACAATGAATCCTCATTCCTTACTACGACTGCATTATCGCCAATTTTATTATATTTTCCTATTAGTATACTAATTAATTTCGATATACACCAGGTCAACGTCTAATTCAGTAAATTTAT